CAACCCGTTTCAGTTTGACAGTACAAGATTGTTCCGTGTTTCTAATTAACTCGATCGCATCTATACGACTCTGCCAGCTAGCGTAATTTGTGGATTTTCCGCCTTGGTTGTTTTAAGCTTAACTGAATCGCCAATTTATGCTTAAAATTTACTAATTTGGAAAGTCCCGAAAAACGGGACTTACGTTAGCCCGTTGTTTTGGTAATTGAACAATTTACTTTTTCTTGTTGGTAAAGAAAAATTATTGAATTGTATATAGATGTTGAGAAGGCTTTTAATGTAATTCCTTCTATATAATGATTCAGGGTGGATTAGGCTTTTATGGCCTTTTAATTGCCTTCCAGTTGAGAGAGAAATATAGTGTAGGGTGTGGATTAAAAATGAAATGAAATGAATTTTTTTAACAAAAAACAAGAAACTTAGTTGAATTCTCAAAACTTTCTCAGGATGAATATAGGGAAATAATATATAAGAATGACCAAAAACTGATAATGGAAAATGCAATAATATTTAGGGCTATATTTAAAAAATAAAAGTTATGCCAATGCTACTTTTTCATATCGTTCAAACTCCTTTAGGCCTTTTCCACCAACCTCTAACTCTCACACCAACGTTCTACACCTTGATAATCGCTGTTCTTACTTACAATGAATTTTTTCTTATACTTAGTTTTGAAGTAATTTTACCGCTTAGTTACTCTTCGGTTGTCTTTGTGGTTTGATTTTTCATTCAAGTTGAGTTTGTTTGTTTCTTTGCGTTTGTTAATTTTTAAGCAATATTATCCAACTTCGTAGTTGCACAAAGTAATAAGTAGCTTATCAACTCTAATTTTAATAACTTTTTTTTTTGGTTTACAACATTTTTAAGTTGTGCTTCAGTTTTGTGTTTAATTAATTTATTTTTTTATCTATAATGGGAAACAAAATTGGTCAAAAAAGGTGTCAAAATCACAACATATCACGATTACACGCGATTACAACATCAGATAATCTTTGTGTAAAGACTCAACCAATTGATCAATGATAAATTTCAAATTTTCCCGCCTCAAAAACTAATAAAAGATAATAGATAAAAATAAACAACATTTTGGTGTTTATTTGTAAGTATGTACTTTGTTATCTTCTTTTAGTCTTTTAGTTTATTTTTATTTATATTAAATTTATAACACTATCAACGGCATATGTTCATTTCTGTTCTGTTTAGAAAATATTGAAAATCTTGCCCGTACCTCAAGTAATGTAATGTAATGTAATGTAATGAAAAACGACGCGTTAATCATGTTACCTGTAATCAAACGTCGTACAAGCCCTAATAGGATATTGCGGCACACTTATTCGTAAGGCAATTAATTATTGGTCACGTCGGTATCCGAAGAAAAGCTTCATTTTAATCCTAGATTGCTTTTAATTATGCAACTAATTTACATTTAACCGCGTATTAAACTATAAATCATGGAAAACGTCGTTAATAAACAAGAGCAATAAAAATTCTTAAATATTAAATCCTGATCGTAGGCATGAGGTGAGTAATAATGGCAGACCAAAAGGTGATTTAAATATAAAGGGGCTACCCTGTTGTGAGCCAATTGCGGGCTAATTTACGTTTGTTTTTGTTTTCGGCAAAAAGCGCAATTCTCTTCGCAGTAGGCGGCGCCCGTGCTGTCACAGTAATGGAAAGTTTGGTGGTTGAGTTACGCTGAACGGAGTTTATTTTTAAAAAAATTTATAACGCACGTAACGCAAATTTACAATATCGATCCATTAACCGCTAGCACGTGGTTTTGATGTAAATAATTTCAACATCGAAAATGGAAATAATTTGGTTAACAAGTGTCAAATCAGTTTCTTTTATGTACTTATTTACTATAGCCTGGTGAGAATTCTAATTTTCAGCGTTTTCAATATATCGGTATTTGTTCGTTGTTAATTATTTTGTAGTAAACACTTAAGATGAGACTTAAGATTTCTATAGACTCTCGGATAGAAATCGATAAACAACCTAACAATCTTAACCGCGACTCAGGTCTCTACCTGACGCCAATTAGGGAATCGGTCATCCGGTGTTTATGCCACTCATTTAGCTCCGCCCCTCTCAAACAATATATAAACAGGTACAGAGTAAAATACGAGCCAGTTTCAGTCAAGCTCTGAAGAAGCCAACAGGATGATTGGCGAAACGTCAGAAAGTTCGACTCAGGAGGAATCCAGAAGTTTTGTAAAAAGTAAGATGAAGAAATGTTCGGATGCCCCTATTACTACTAAGAAAAAACAGTTCTTTGAACGGTGATCGAGGACGTTACGAGTGAGAACATTATGTTTGGACCAAGTTTCTTCTACGTTATTTGCTCCAAAAATGTAATCTTTTTATCAAAATTAAGAAAAATACACCTATAAAAACTGAAAGACGGCCGCTGGTTAGCGAGTTTGATAAATACTGATGATAAGCTTTTGTCACATATTTAGAAAGGTCACCTTCTCAGTAAACCTAATAAAACAATCTCAATCTCAACAGAATCGAACGGTTCAGTTTGTCGTAAGTCAAAGGAAAAACAGTACGAGTTGTTAAGGTGGAGGAATGAAATATGGCAACGCTAGACAAATATACTTCCGCTCGTAGTTGGGTGCTGTAAGTGTTTGAATTTAGTAACTTTTAAGTTTGCAAGTTGACTGCAATAGAGACGCCAGAGAGAAGAAGAAACTTCCATGCATTACAAGTTTGGTTGGTCTGGGGTATAACTATAAATGTTTTGATAATATTTTATATTACAATTGAATAGAAGGTTTTTAATAAATTAGTTATGAGCAAGTTGTACTTTTTTGTCCGCTTGGGTGGCATGCAAGTGCAGACGGTACCGGTGTTTATTGTCTATTTGTGTAACTTCTGCATTGTTTAACAAACACTGACAATAGCACGTGCAGGTAATATATATAAGCGGAATACTATGACATTCAAAGATTACACTTAATACAATTATTACTTAAAAGTGGAAAATTATTTAAGGTGTCTGGAAGAAATGCAAAAAACGTTGTTCTACGATTGTGTAACGAGTTATTACATTAAATGCAAAAGTTGATTGGTGTAGTTTTGAGGTAGTTCACGGTTTATGTTTGTAAATTAGATCTTTAATATTTGTGACAGACAAATATTGAAGAGGAAATATTAAAAAAAGTAAAAATATTAGGCATGTACAGCCTTATATAAAATTGCCTTAATTTTTAATGCCAAATATAACGAGATTATAAAATCAGGTAGTTCCCATTAAAAAAAAAAGTTTTTTGACAGTTTTTTTAATTTAATTTTAATTTTTCGCGTACCCTGTATTAATATATAACGAAAATTCTTATGAAATCCGTTATTCGGGTCCTTTGTCTACAGCAAAACTTAAATGCTTCCGAATCAAGATATTGGCAGATATTTTACGTCTCGCCAAAGTCATTTTTCGCATAAAACATTAAAAATGTCAAAAACGGTTACACTTAGGTATAGGACATTATACACAAAATATGTCTAGAATTTTGTATAGAATTCAAAAATGAAGTAATATCCCATGTGTTCCATTTAATATAAGTTGATACCGCCCACGAAAAATGAACCACCCTGCATATACAACATTAAAATACATTGAAAGTTTGTAATGCCCCAATTAACTTTTGTATACTTAACTTTTGGCTTCATCCCCTATAGTTTCTAAAATAAGCTAGTGCCCCAAGATAAACGGCCTGCCCTATACAAAGTCATGCATTGTCATTTCCGTAGCAGTGAGAATTTCTATAACTATGCTGTTAACCTTAATCTTAATAAATCGTATTGTGTGCAACACATGCAAAAATATACTCGGGCCGCTCTTCGCAATCTTGCAACTGCAAAATTGAAAATTTCAAAACGGATTATTCTTTTTCTTTTCTTGCATTAACAAGTAGCTTCGTATATAATCAACTGTCCATAAAAGGCATATTAAAATTACATACTGTCATCGAAAGTTGATTAATTTAATTCGCCTCTACGGCGTATATACTTTCCACTTTTTTTTGCGTTCGGGGGTCGTGTTATTTCTCACATTGATATATTTTTATTACTACCTGTTCACTAACTACATTGTTGCGCATGTCTCGAATAGTTTGTAGCATCAATTTTATTACGATGGCTTTATCGGCCGTAATTTCATTAGTGCTTGCGTAGAAAAACGAGAATTACGGCTTCGTAAATTTCTGGAAATTTACAACCAGTGTGACGACATTGTCAGAGTATAATTATTGCCACCCTAAAAAATGGCATAGTTTATTAACGAATGCAATTAAAAGTTACGGCAGCATTACATTAATTAGTAACTCGTGAACTGTGTTCTAATTTAATTTTGTTTAGTGCTCAAACGGAATAATCCCAAAAGCACGTTTGAAGTCACCACCGCAAACAATGTCTAAGTCACATTTTGCGTTTTTACCTATCTTTTGCGGAAAAAAATCGTTTTAATTGATTTAGGCTTTTCTATTCATTAGATATAATGAACATTTATAAGAATCTTGTTATATATAGTTGTTTGTATATATCCAATTAACGCGGTATAGCTATGCCACAATTCCATGTGAACTTAAGTACGCAAACTTAAGAAAGGTACAGCAAGTGGCGCGAGCTTGGGTTGTGCAATGGCACTATTGTATATATGTATATAACTATATACCTATATATACATATACTATATACCTATATATACATATACATATACCTATGTTGGACTTAAATGTGGTTCCATTATGTTTGTAAAATTTCATATTTTGATATTACGACTTGGTTCATTTTGGAATTAGCTGCTAAAAATTTACAAAAAATTCCCCAAATAGACAGCGACTTATAGCATTATTAAAGAAAGTGATTCCAAAGCTATTAAGACGGCGTACATAACAGCATTGACTTTATCTTAGTAAATAAAAGTAATAAAAAGTTATTAAAACATTGTAATGTACTATTTATATTTTTAATTTCTTATAATTTATGTTTTGCAGCAAAAAGTCAGATTTTGGTTTGCAACGGGCGGAGCAGGATTCTGCCTTAGTCGTGCGTTAGCTTTGAAGATGATGCCCGTAGCGAGGTAAGTAGATGATATTATTAATTATCATGCTATAATATTAATACTTCTTCATCGTAAAACACGATTAACATTTAGTTCGTTAATTTGGTTCCACTTATTTAAAGGGTTATTTATTAGTAGATTTTGTGTGTTTTTTATAAATCACTGCTAGTATTAAGATCGCATCGAAAATATACGGCCACGTAAATTTACGGTTTTTACAGTATAATCAGTGTAAATCGTTTTTCAAAACCATCATTTGTGAGGGTATTAAAAAGTAAAATATTCTTTTCTCAATGTCTATTTCCAAAGGCAATTAATTTTAAAACGAGGTACATACATTAGTTATTTTATAAATGAATTGTTATCTGCCACCTAATAATAATTAAAAATGATCTTCGTTCAATAAAATAAATTATTTTTCGTCATGCTAAGACGTGTCTTCCAATTATCATAGGACCGTCATTACTAACTCTCTTGTTAGATAAATATCTCAACCGTCGCGATGGAAACAACAATGACACACCGAAAGTAGTTTTTTTTGTGAATTCGAATTATTTCGCGAGTTGGACCGACAGACGCTATTAATTGGCTCCAAACATCCAATCTCATTAGCCGCGATAGCGTCTGCGGTATTTTCAGAATTCCGGTCCGCCTTCTCCCCGTACGAAAATTAATGGTTTTATTTCTATCTAATCGGCTGTCAATTAAAAAGCCCGGCTCTCTCTTTTCCGAATAAAGTGATAAAAAAATCTGTTTTTGAATTTCATTTGGGGCAAAACTGACGAAATATTATTTGTGTTTTATTTGTAACGGAAACCACGAATTTGAATAATATTAAGGACAAAAGAAATATTTAAAAATAGATCTTAACTGGTATTTGGTATGCCGTATTTGTGCCTATCTCTAGTGCTCAAAGCACTGTGAAATATGGTCATGCTTTCTGAGATTGTAACTAAAACGAATACAAGTATTTTGAAGTCGTTGGAGTCTCTCCTTATCTCGATCAAGTATAGCTGGCCAATAGACGATACTGCAATAAGCGACAAGATATAAAACTAACATACCACTGTGTTTAAGTTTGACTTCTTTACTAAGAAAATGTTTATCAATATCCAATGTCCTCAATTTATAGAAGGCAGTTTTCATATAGTCTCTCTTAAAATAAAAGTCAATTGAAAACTTTCAATATGATTCCAATATTATAACTAAGTCGACGCTATAACTATGGTCACAGCACACGACCTTTGCCATTTTGTCAAAAATCAATCCAATACAAAATAAACGAACAATAAGTATTTATTATTTATATATATTATTATTTATACAGTCTTTTAAAATATAGTTAATTATCGATGAAATTTATTTTGATAACATTTTAATTGGTTGTAACATTTTTGTTTTTAGAGATATCAAGGTAAACATAAAAGCAAAATGTAGGGTTAGTGGTCAACTTTTTTCCAAGTGACGTATAAAACAAAAGACTATTATTTTTCTGACATATAAGCCTACATCATATATTTTTTAAATGGAACGCCCTGTATACAATAGTGTTTAATAGAATAGAATAGTGTAAAACACTTTATACTTCAGTCCACTCGTTTTTGAAAAATCTGCAGCAGCAATAATTATTTACAAATTAAAGTAGATCAAAAACACTGAAAATGACAAGACACACTAAAGTAAAAAATTCTAAATACTGCTGCATGTGACCACCATTTTGCTGAACACATTTCTCATACACTCTAATTGTATGATGTCTTCCTTGCATTCCTTTTAAACATTTAATACGTTACCGTTTTCTGAAAATTTCTTTGCCAGCGTTGGAAATATCTGTTCTGAAGGAGCTCAATGCTCTGGATAAAGTCTAATATAGTCTAAAAACCATTTTAATAATAATGACTTGGACAATAATTCAACTAACAACGTTGTTAACTAATATGTCAAACATAAACATATTTTTATTTGTCAGTCAGGATACCCTTTGGAATTCTATAAAAATTTCCTATTTTTGCTTGTCAAAAACGAGTGGAATATAAAGTGTGTTACATCATTGTAATTGGAATAAGATATTCTATTAAACCCATATATAATATACAGGGTGTTCCGTTTAAAAAATATGATGTGGGCTTATATGTCAGAAAATTGATAGTGTTTGACTACTTACCCTATATTTTGTTTTTTTGACTACGTTGATATCTCTAAAAACAAAAAAGTTACAGCCAATTAAAATGCTATCAAGATAAATTGAACGTACGGTACATTTTCTGAAACTAATTATTGACGAAATGTTATACACAAATTTCAAATAATTAAATCGGGATCTATACAAATGTGATGTTAATATTCTATTAAATTAAATATATTATTAGGAAAGTTGTGAAAATAATATACGACTTTACAATTCATGCATACTATGCATTTATTCCACTAGGTAGGGTAGAAAAATATACAAAAAAGTAATGCGAAATAAAATAGTTAATAATATTCTACTACACCACAACTTTACCATTTATCTACTAAACTTAATTCAATAAATTGAAGACTAGATTTGACGTCATACTGTGTCAGTTGAGAGGAAAGAAGGTTGATGGGTCTATTATATGGTTTTATGTTCCTTTAATATTTTATATATTTGTATATTTTTGTTTGCTCTCTTCCCTTCTTATTGTACGCTTAATTACATCAGTTTGAAATTGCAAATTAAAATTTGCCATATTGTGATGAAAAAAAGACATGGACATTGTTTAACTGTCTGGCTTCGTTTTACCACATTTTTTGGTGTAACAATACGCCATTCCCGAATTTCAGCAAACATATCCATTGTGCGATATTTAACTCGATAACACGATGAATAATTTTGCGCATTAATAATAATTACGAAAATATGAGATCCCTTTGTTTAGTGCGTTCTTTGTTACTTGAAAAGTTTCCGCTTTCTTTTTGGGTTGTTTGATCCGCGTCGATTATAAATTAATCTATTTTTTTTTTGGCAAATCAATACACAAAGGCGATGAGATCAAGTGTCTTTGTTAACCTTTATCTTGGATCTTGCATTACGATAATGGAACTATACAATATCCAAATCAAAATTTATTTTTAAACTGTTCTCTATATAGTGTTTGATAACTGTCTTTTCTTATTTGCGTCAACTACGTGGGGAATTGAGACAGTTTTCATATCGAAATATGTGTAACCGAATCAAAGATCTTATTGCTGATAGATATTTACTCCCATGTTATACAAAACTTTTGCTTATTTTATAACTATTCATATCTATGATTTGTTAATTTCGTGTTATTTGTCCTAAAAACCTAAAACAAAAAGGGGCAGTGCTTAATGGTGGATTAGAAAATAAAATCAGTAAATTAAAATGTATGGAAGTGATACCAATCAGCTGTCATATCTTAAATAAGATTTCTCGCATTTTGTACATTTATAGTAAGGATCCACATTAACTTCTTCAAAATCGTAAAATATTGAGCCATCTTACAGTATAGCGAACTTCATTATGTAAACTTTAGCTATTTACAAAATGTGAAAATATAGTATATGCACCTTGTCGGAAACGTGAATTCCACTTTTCTGTACTATTTGAGAGAAGATAGAAGCGTGGATTTAAATATGCGTCAAGTAAAATAACTTTTATAAGTGGGTATACTATTTTTTCGCGTTTTATAAATAAATATTTATTTTACCTAAAAAACTCAATTTTGACTGTCTCGACAATTGGGAATGTCAATAAATTTTTAAATGAAGCTCCAAACGAGAGGTTTATATGCACTAATAGTTAGTACGCTGTAATGCTTTGCTGTAGTGTTTTGAGGAATTTTACTTTTTAGTCACGAGTTTCTTTAGGCAGGCGTTCAGCAAACGTTTAATAAATAAGTTTTTGAAAAAGTTTGTATACCGTTTGCACACTATATTTTTTCTACGACTGTTCCAAAGAAAAATGTGAACGATTCACTGATGAATGCGGAACCGTCAAACAACAAACGACATCCGATCGCTTCCACCATATTTCGAGTAGGGAGTAGAAAAACACTATTTAAGGAATAGGTGTAAAGAAATTGCTATTACGTCAACACATGATCACACGTTAGTTACCTTGATCACCTTATCTTACCTTATGGTTATTTTAAAATGACCCAACTGGAAAATAAAGTTGTAGTTGTTGCTAGCAAGAGCTATATAGGGTGGTCCATAATGAATGCATCAAGAAGCTATCCTAGATTCAACTCGCGAAAAGAATGATATTGAGATAAATATTGTGTTAAAGTTTCGTTTTCGAAATTGTTATTTCTGCAGGACGCAAACAGTTTTTCAAATATTTACCAGCCAGCTATTTGATGAAATATTAGAATGCAAATATTTTTTACTAATGCATATTGGCTAAATATCAAATATGCCTCAGTAAAATTGTTGCACCTCAAACATGCCCATATCAAATTCTTAATAACAGTTTGTGATATTGAAACGGATTTTGAAATTTGTATCAGTGGCCGATTTTTGTATTATGTATTATACTTTTGTTTACTTCGAAATCACCACACTTCAAAAGAAAGTAACTTGATGGTACTAACTAACTAGCACCCTATACGTATTCGTCATCTCAAAAAGCCCCCGAATACAAGTTTTCATATCGATACTTCAAAAATTGCTTCTTGAGCCATAGCGAAATAACAATTTTGAGAGCGACATATTATTAAGAAGACATATTAGAATCAATGTCATTATTTCGCTTTATTTCTAATTCCACGCCGATACGTATTGTCATCTAAACCTGACTGATGTTTTTTGCGCAACTGATTTCGTATTGACTATCCCCGAACTGAGCCGGCCATACACGGATAGAGCCCTATCAGCAGTTCATTTTTCGAACGCTTACTCCATAATCGTTTCGAGGACGTCGCGTCGGCGTTTTCGCGTGGGGTATGATAAACTATCGGCCGCCTGCCGTTCTCACCTAGTTATCTGATTCGCGAATAATTAGCATTTTAACAGTTCCGAGAGAAACTCAG